CCCCCGGCCGCAGGGAAATTAATTACTGGATGATTCTCACTTCCTCTCGCAGCTCCTGCCTGAGCTAGGCACTGGAACAGGACTGGCTAAGCCGGGCTGGGCATCGGCATGGGGGACTTGCTGCCCCCCGCCAGCTCTGGGAGAAGAAAGTTGAACCCCAAACCCAACAGGAGGTTCCAGAAGGAGCCCAACTGGGAGAGGGAGGATTTCCTCCAGTGAAAGCTGAGTGTCCACACTGGCCACTTCAGAACGGGGGAGAGGGACAGGGCTGAGGGTTACAAGGGCCACGCTGGAGAGCTCACACTCTTTTCTTTGCATCTTCTTCCCTGTGTCCCAATGTGCCTGGACCCCATCTGCTGGAGACCCTCTCTCTCCTCTCCCGTTGGCTTCTCCTATCTTGCACTTCTCTTTCTCTGTCTTTGCATTCTAGGGAAGGGGGGCTTCCTTTTTGTGTCTCTGCATGTCTTTTCCTCCCGCGGGTATGTGAGTGTGTGTGTACTGCTACTTCTCTCCATTCCCGTCTTTCTTCTGTTTCTCTCTTCCTGTATCTTTTTGTCCTTGTCTTGGTCTCTCTGCTGCTATTTCTACCTCTTTCAGTGTATGTGTCTCTCTTTCTCTGTATGTCTCTTTCTTTCTTTCTCCGTGTTTCTCTCCTCTCTCTTTCTCCCTCCCCCCTCCCTCCTCTTTCTCCGTCTCTTTCTGTATCTCTGTGCCTTTCTTGCCCTCACTTTCTCCCCTCCAGCCCGCCCGCCGCTCCCTGCGCCTCGCCTGCCCCCACCGCCGCCGGTTCAGGGGAACGTGTGCGGAGCGATTGTCCTGGGGGACATTTGATGGATTAGAGCGCTGAACAGTTCCATTGCTAGGGGACCACCTGATCTCCTCCAGCCTGCGTCCCATATAAAGCCGGCAGCCGGAGTGCTGAGCACAGCTCCAGCGATCGCCTGTGTGCGCGCCGCTGCCGCCAAGCCCGAGCGGGAGCCGGAGCCCGAGCTCGGGCCGCCACTACCGGTGCCGGCTCCGCGCGGCCGCCAGTCCGCCCGCTGGGAGCTGTCCAGTGCTGAAACCCCGCGCGGCCAGCCAATCGCGCCCGGCTGGCCGCCTCCCCCGCGGGGCCCCACGCAAGTGCCCCGCCGAGCCCCTCGCCAGTCGCACCATGCCGCGCTCCTTCCTGGTAAAGAAGATCAAAGGGGACGGCTTCCAGTGCAGCGGGGTGCCGGCCCCCACCTACCACCCCTTGGAGACCGCCTACGTGCTGCCTGGCGCCCGAGGGCCGCCCGGGGACAACGGTGAGTGGGGCCGGGCGGGGAGAGAGGGGAAAGGAGCTCGGGCCCTCCCCAAGTTGAGCCACGAGGAGGGGCGCGCGCGGCGGGGAACCCTAGGAGGAGATTTCCCTGGCGTTGTGCGCCTCCCGGGCTTCCCGAGGCCGGCGGGCGGGGCAGGGGCTAGGTCCCTACAAAGGGAAAGTCGCAGGGTCGGCCCATCCGGAAGCCACACGCCAGCCCTACTTTGAAAGTTGTGGCCCTAGAATGGTTTTGGGTTGAGAAGGTGGTGAGAGAACAGAGAACACAGGGCGCCCATAAAGGGCTAATGCACAAGGCGATCTAGGGATCCCCACTCCCTGATGGAGGGAGAGAGCTGACTGCCTGTGTGTGTCCGGGGTAGGGAAGGTTAGCCACCCCAGACCACCAGTCCGTGCCAAGATGGGGTTGGTTCCCTAGGTGTAGCTGAGGGTGCCCTGACTCCCTTCAAATCTGCTCCCCCTCATGATGCCAGACAAGTGCTCTCAGGCTCCCTCTCCCCGCAACTCTTTTGTTACCCTCAGCCACATGCCTGCCAGAGGCTGTGCCTGCCCTGGGGTCTGAGAGAAAGAGGGGATTTCTGGAAGGGGTTTCCCAAAGTAGCCCCTGGCCCCTAGGCTGCATTCCTTCCTCATACCCCTCCAGAATCTGCCCCACTGCTCCATCTAAGCACCCCCCACACACACACTCCCACAAACACATACACACACTTCATCTCTTCTCAGAGCAAGTTCCTGCAGGGACAAGGGTTTGGGGGACAAGTGAGGTCATTTAGGCCCAGAAGGGGGTGATCCTTGGAGGGTGGGGAGATGAAGCAGAAACTGCTTCTTTGGACCCCTCCCCCATCAAGGGGATCACAAAAGGTTTCTCCTCTATTGGCCCCCATCAAGGCAGGTGTCTGGGGAGGAGTCTGGGGAGGAGTCGTCCCTTTGGCAGTGAGAAATCTGGCATCAGATGTGGCATCCGCTTTGGGGTGTGTGTGTGTGTGTGTGTGTGTGTGTGTGTGTGTGACAGAGAGAGAGAGAGAGAGAGAGAGAGAGAGAGAGAGAGAGAGAGAGAGAGAAGGGAAGGCTGAAGATGAGGGGAGAGCTGAGATGGCAAAGGAAAGAGACCAGGAGGGTGGGAGCTTCCACCTCAGGGATTTCCAAGCACTTCACCCACATTCTGTCACTCTGCCAAGCCAGGTAGTGAGAGGATGCTGGGCAGAGGGCTCTTTGACCTCATCAAGGTCAAAGAAGTTAGAGAATGAGCAGGGCCACAGTGGCAGCCCCTCAGCCCCTAGCCTCCTTCAGATCCCCACAGAACCCCCTTTTCCTCTGTCTACAAGTCCCCTACTCTGCTGTCCCCTTTTCTTGGGGTCAATGACAAAAGCCCATGGATATGGCTGGGCTGGGCTGGGCTGAGTGCTGGCAGGACAGAGGGTGGCCCTGGGGCCATGCCAGGGGTGAGGAATGTGTGTGCCGGGAGACGGGGAGAAATTGAAATGTCTGCAGGACTGGGATGTGGGCTCTTCGGGGGACTGACACAAAGCTCTGGGTTCCCACCCCCTGAGTCTCCTTGGTCCTGTCTCCAGGCCAGCTAAGGAAACCTAGAGAAGCCCAGAGTATTTTCCATGCACACCCAAAACTATGACTGTCCCTCCGGAGGGAGGCGGGAGAGTGCTTTGCCTTGAATTCAATCCAAAAAAAGCTTTGCAAGGAGTCCCAAGCAATTGGTAGGATGCAGGGTCAGGGCAAAGCCCTCAGCAGAGGTATTCAGTAGAGGTTCCACCAAGTTTGATCCCCTAGACCCACCCCTGTCTTTGGGGATTTCCCCAAAGGGCTTCAGACCAACTCCCTGGCCTCCAGGGAAGCCTGAGGTTGTCCTAGTAGCCAAATGCCTGGCCTGGACATGGAAGGCCTAGGCTCTAGATCTCTGACTCACTGTGTGACCTTGGGCAGGTCCCTTCCCTTCTCTGATCTCCAGCCTCCCCAGCAGTGAAAGGAATTTGGATGGTATGAGCCAAGTCAAGTGTGACAAACTCCTTCTGTGAAGGTCAGATATGGGGTGGAAGGCATTGGAGATGTCTCATAGGATGCTAGAGGCCACTGTCAGGGCTTCTGCAGGGCTCCATTTACCATCCAACTCGCTGAGGGTGGCGGAGCTTCTGGGACCTGGTGCTTTCCTTAGCCCCATGGCAAGCACAGGCACGTTGGCCTGGTGGCCTCGGCAGGGTCTGCAGCGGACAGACTCAGTGCAGGAGACCAGGGGTGACCCTTCAGGCCTGGGTATGGCTGGGGAACCCAGGGTCTGCCCAGTCCTGCTTTCAGGGGCCTCTTCCAACCCTGGGGTGTGGCCAGACTGCGCAGTGGAAGCTCCTCCAATCTATGGTTGGGTAGGGGTGCCTGGGGCCCTCAGAGAGCTAGCCAGCTCCTGGTGGCCCGTTGTCTTCACTGTGCCGGAAATAACCTTGCTGAGCGTTTGAGGGAAGTGTGAAAAATTGCTGAGCCGACGTTTTTCTCTCCCAGCGTGCGTAAGTGTGCTGGGTAAACAAGGAGAAAGAGAGGGGGGAGGTGAGGAGAGGGAGGGCGGGGAGGAGCAAAGAAGAAGGCAGGGAGGGGGAGGGAGGGCCTGGGGCTGGAGATAGTTCCAGTTATTAGAAGGATCTTCTTACAAGCCATTCCTGCAGCTCTGGCGCAGGGTCAGGATGAGGCTGGTGGGAGGCGGACAGTGAGGAGGGGACAGGGAGGCCTGTGAATTTGGGGTTCAGGGGAACCTTTGATGTAGGAGCCCAAATTAAAGAGGTGTACTCCCAGCTCAGGGAATGCCCGGGAGTGCTGGAAAATTCCTGGAGGATCCCCATACACACACACACACACACACACACACACACACTGCTCTCCTTTGCCTCCCTGCTCCTGTTTCCCTCCCTCTTAGCCTCCAGACAGCAGGTTTGTCCAGGCTCCAGGCTGCCCCCAAATCCACGGAACCCCTAAACAGGGAAGGGGAAGCCCTCAAATGGTGAAATCTCCAGGTCTCTTTACAGAACTCCCTGAAAAGGGGGACCCGACTGAACTCCAACATCCCCTCCAAGAAAATGCTTCTTTTCTCCCTTCCTGTCCTTTGCTCCTCTGCTGTTGCCTGCCTCCCTGGAGCCTCCCTTTCCCTCATCTTCCTGGGTGATTCTGAGCACAGATCCAACCTCTCTGAGACGCCAGCTCACGTCCTCCTAGACCCTCTCAGAACCTTAACCTCCATCTCCAATGAGCCTACCCCTCACAGGCCGAGGTCCCATCAGGGAGTGCTAGGGACTCAGACACCTCAGAGAAGGTGGGCTGCTCATCCAGGTACATGTCAGTGGTCTCCATGGGACCCTGCTGGGGACGGCTTCACTGCCCCTAGAGTGCCCACCTCCCCTCACACCCTAGGTCTGAACTCTAGCAGAGAGCCAAGTCCCACCCCGGACTGCCCCATAACCCTTCCGAGTGCATCTGACAGGGCTGATGAAGGATCAATGCCAATCCAGTAACACAGTTGTCTGCCCTCTGCGGCTACATTAAGCCTCCTCCCCGCCCCGCCCCCGCCCCCCGCAGGCTAAGGAAGCTCTCCTGCATCTATCCATAGGCTTATCTAGTTGACCACATTACACCAGCTCCCACCTCCTCTGACTCCCTCTGATGGCGCCGGGCAGTCGCTCCAGACCTGAGAGCATGGCTGAATTTCCCCAGCTGCTGTATATCTACCCCATGCCTCAGAAAGTCCATCTGGGGAGCAGGGATGCAAAAAGGTTGCACCAGTCCCTTGGCAGAGGAAGCCCAGAGAGCGCTAGGGAAGTGCCCAAGGACACACAGCAGGCCCATATGGGTCTTTTTTAACCACCACCTCTCCTGGCATCTTCATCTTGCCACAGGGCCAAGGCCCATGCTAAAGACATGTTAAGATTTCCAGGTTCAAAGCCCACGTCCAGGTTGAGGTCCAAGCCCAACATCCATGTTCAGTGTCAGGTCTAGGACCAAGTACAAAGTCTAGCTCCAAGGTCAATATCTAAGGTTGTAAGTCCAGGTCCAAGACCCAGGACAAATCTAAGTTCAAGTTCAAGTTTCAATGTCCAAGAGCAGGTAAGGTTCAGGATCTAGGTCTAGGGCCAAGGTCCAGGTCAATATTGTAGGTTCAGGATCAAGATCCAGGCCCACTTTCTAGTCCAAGGTCATGTTCACGTCCATTCTCAAGGCTGGTTTGGTTCAAGTGTTAGACTCATCATTAGCTTGATGTGTGGCCTTGGACTGTCTTCCCCTACCCCAGCCTCAATTTTCCTCTGGAAACTGAGCAGTTGAACTTGGTATCTTTCAGTTTTGACCTTCTGAAGACAGATTTCTATCTGATTTTCCTAAGAATTAATAGGGCTACTTAGAAGGAGTATGGAGTAATGAAGTTAATGTGGGGTATAGAATCTGGGGGAGCAAGTTTCCCCCAAGACCTGGAGTCACAAGGGGAATATCAAGTCCCCTATGTCAGCTTAGCAATTTGTACACCCCAAAGACTCTTAGGCCACTGCCCCACACACATATACACAGTGTGGACAAAGGCCAGGGGAGGACTAGCTCCCATCCACAGAGCGCAAACAGACCAGGAAGGGCCCTCACCTTGCCTGAGGTCATAAATGGTGGGCCCTGCCATACCTCCCTGGTGGCTGCTTCATCCACATACTCCAGGGGCCCCCAGCCTGGAGGCCCTCTGGGAGGGGGGCAGAGACTAGGGGAGTAGAAAGACACTGCTGAGATAAGCCCCAGACCTCTTGGCTTCCTTCCCAGTGGTGGTCTTCCCAAGAGTGAAGTGTCCACCTCCAGGCTTTGAGTAGAGAGAGGATTGGAATGCGACATCTGCTTGCACCCCTCTGGGGCAAAGGGCAGGTAGCATATAAAGCAGGGAGGAGGGCAGAGGAGGCAGGGCATTAGCCAATGTGTCCTGTCTTCAGAAGGAAGCTCAGAAGAGTCCACCAGAGATGCCCC